AGTTGGCTCATTACGGTCGCGGCAGTAAAGCTATGACCTGGNAGACAGTAAGGTTGAGCCAAAGACGCTTCTGAGCTTCTTGTTGAAATCTTTGAGGCAATTCAAGGATCATACCGTTGATTAGAATTCCAAACTGTATTGCTGAACATAGAACATTGTATTTGTTATGACAATTGCGACCTCATTAAGTTTCTGAATGGAGTAAAGTTGGCTCATTACGGTCGCGGCAGTAAAGCTATAACCTGGTATCGAAATGGCGCGATCTCACCCAAATTCCGACTTCATAATCTGGCCATTAATCGTATCCGAATTCGCTAACCTTCGGTTTTGTACTTGTAGAACCTCTCGTACGACCTTAATAACCTATCACGAGCTCACGACTTTTCTTTAAAATCTACATTGCATTACGGAACGACAGGGATCGAAACGCTGAGATCACCGGTGAGTTCTGGATTTTCAGATGTAAGTTATAGATAAGAGCTGTGGTTTTTTGTCTTACATAAGTAAGTCGTGTCCAAAGAAGGAATAAAGGCCAGTGGTCATGGTCAATCACTGCCTAATTTTCGATTGAATAACTCTAACAGATCGAAATTTTGACGAGACATCGAAGGAATCCGTAACCGAAACCTTTAACTTATCACTCATACCCTGCAGTATCTTTCACTCAGCCTCCTCGGACTACCCGAGAAAGGATTAAAATATAAGAGGATTTGCAAGGTATCATCATATGTTTTGGCTTCATCTGGGAACTCATCGATTACTTCCAAGTTCGGTCTTCTTAAAACCTGGGCATTTTACATAATGTTTAATACAGCTTTGTCGTATAGGTTTGTTATGGTCGAACCGCTTTATTGGTCAACGTTTCGACTGAATCGTCGTTTTCAGGATCATTCAGTTGAATTGTTGATCGATAAAGCGGCTCAACCATAACAAAACTGTACGGCAAAGCAGTATTAAACATTATCAATTACTGTGTTCTTAGGTACGCTGTCAGCGTATCCTCGCAAAAGTCGCTGAGTCACTTCGAGTGCCTATACGACATTACTACTAAAGGGTGTACTGATGTAGGTAAAGAAACAAAATAAAGTGGCACAGTTTCAGAAACTGTAGCGGAGCACACGCATTTCAGGCTCGTAGTGGAAACCAGTCCTCTCCCAGCTTTCTTTTCTCTCATCAGATCTTTCAAAACGGACCCGCCGGCCATCTGATTACTGTTTTCGCCTTGCCTGACTTGCGGATCTCCGAGCGCTATCGAAAGTTTCGATCGTTGCGAGTTTAGGCCAGACTCCTGGCCCAATATTTAATGACCACTTAAACGAATTCCATGAAAATTTCGATGGGAACAATGAACAGTTGGCAATTTGGATACTTACTTCGGGAAGTAACTGGTATATCAAGTATTTCGTCGCAATAAGGTGCTAGTATCTGACTTAGGGTTGGTGGTACAGACCTTTCCGCTAGGGGAGCTAAAGCCACAAGACCAAAAAGTCAAAGACCAAGTTGGCAGGTGATCGCCAATCGCTAATCGATGATCGCTGATCGCTTACAAATCCAAGAAGAACAATGAAAAAATGTAAAGTAATTGTTGCATTATTTATAATTAGACCTGTACAGGAAATGCTTGGAAGGATATTCTTAGGAGGGAACCACTTTATTTCTTATCTCGCTTGCCTACCTTTGGTTGAAGGTTGTCGATCAGGGCGGTTATCCACCCCCGGGCTCTTTGATCACCAATTTCATCACAGCTTCCCCCCCCCCCCCCCCCCCCCTTTCCAAGCCACTACATTCATCGATTAAGTTCTTCACCCAGAACTCTTCTTTTTTCGTTCTTTGCTGCTTTTTTCACATAGTTTTTTCCCTTGATTTCAAGAACTGGTCTAATTATGGCGCTCGGGGTTGGGTAGAGGGGATCACCCTTCCACTCTTTAGCTTTTGGTTCAATGCTCTGATAAATCTGTTCTTTTTATCAATGTACTTCAAGTGCCATCCCCAGCAGCGAATGGGTCGAAGAAAGGTAATCGCTCACCTAGCCAAATCCGCCCGATTCAGCTTTACAAAACGGGTTTCATCCTCCGACATATTTGGGTGGGTATGAACGCTCATCTCACTCCTCTCTCGATACGACTAGGTCTTCGTCTGCTTAGATCGCTCAAATGGCTACAGAAAACAGAAACGCCACGGATTCTGTGAAAAAAGAACGGTACGTTGACAGATTACCTTCGAAATCTAGACGATTCAAAGCATATTCTCGGGTTCGATTATTCTCAGAATCTGACGATTCAATCTTGTGAACCTTGTAGGCAATCTACAAATCGTGGGAGATGGGAGTGGACTTTCATGAAATGTCTTGATTCCATCTTTCACAAAACGCTCTATAAAAGACAGGCAGAAAAGATTCCGTGAGGTTGTTTGTTCACCAGCTTAGCCCTGTCCAACAGCGGATCTTTCTGAAAAGATCTGTCCGCACGATTATTCACAGCCGTTTTGCTCCACCCCTGAAAAGTTTATTCACTGAAAGACACAGTCTTCGAGAACATTTCTTTTCTGCTTCTTTTCCAAACAATATTTCTTCATTAGTTGTAAAAACTTATCTTGCGTAAGTGGGTTCTTTTTCAGAGTGGTAGCCAATGCTAGGAGAGAATACTTAGTAATCGTATTAGAAAGATTGTTACTATGAAATTAATTCTCGTTCTGTCAAGATTCAGCCCAAAGCATAGCCATCCATAACTGTCTTCAGTTTCTCAGCATCAAAGAGCAGATCTAAACTCTTCATGATTATTTTTTCTACCTTAATATACGATGCTGTGCATGGTCCTTTGCCAACAGGACTCCTCTCTCTCATTTACAAACTAATAGTTATTCAATACTTGAAATACAGTTCAAATTATCGGAGTGCTTCAGCCTTTAGTTCTTCGTAACACTGCGTACTCTCAGCGTTACGGAGAACTAAACTACCTCAGAGCTCTTCCCCACATACTTTTACTCTCTGGGAAGAGTGATCTATTGAGTAGCTTCTGTAAATTCCTGCCTTGATGCTGTCTTCCCCTTCAAAACTGATAGTGTTGGTGGGGTCTTGCCAGGCATTCAGGTACCAGTTGACGAGGCTTTTATCTGAATAAACTTTACGCTGTGGTAATCCTTATAGTAAGCCTTATCGTTGGAATGGGAGGACGAAGCAAAGCCAGTGCTTCTATACTCCCAGATGAGTCTGGAACCAATTGACCGACTCCGGCGGTATAGAAGCCTAGGTTCGTCAGGCGGGTCTCGATAGGGATTCGAACCTGTGACCGTCCGTATGATAGTGCAGCACTTGCCACTACACCACCTCCGTACGCACTAATGGTGTGCATAATAATATCTTAATGGTATCTATAATAATATCGCTTCTCAAATCTAAGATTACTGCACCCATCATTCATGTTATTTTCCCAAGAAAGCCAGAACGGCGTTTATTATTCAAAGAACCTGTTATAGGCCTACCTCTCTACTCCGGACTGAAATCAGCGTTCATATCAAAAAGTTCGTTGGGTGTTTGCGTGAATGCATGAAAAACACGTAAAGTGTTTTCAGCAGCAACACGGGAAACCTGTAGCACTTTGTCATTTTGCCCTGTCGATCGGACAGCGCCTCAAAATACCATTTATGGCTCGCTCATAGGTCGTAGATTGCATAGTTCTGATAGAAAACCCCCTTGAATTGCAGAAGTGTTTTGCCTGGCGACGTGGCAGTAGTAGGTGACGTTCATCTGGGGTTCTGCGTTCTGCTTCCGTGGAGTCCAGGGTGTCATAGGAAGTGTTGATGCTCTAGATTATTCCTGCCTGTGCACCTGCATAGTTCCTCTACATACTCGTCAGCAAAGTTCAATCGTGATGTACGACGCGTGGGTACAACTGTCTCGGCCAGAGAGAAGTAAATACCAGTAACTTGGGTAAATTTCATCGGGATGTTTCTTCAGTGCCAAGAACTATTCGTTTTCGATCTCTCTGATCAGAATGTATCCGTGAAATTGTGATCCTTCAGAATGGACTATAGACAAGCCATTGAGCGGCGTAGCTACGTTCAGCGTAGGGAAGTACCATTCCCCTATTCGGTCCCAAAATGTTCCTTCTGATTTCTCTACCCATCACTATTCTACATGGGCTCGTCCTTCGGCTAAACCAGTTCAAATTCCAAATATTTTTCGACTTTTCCAGAAATTTTCACTCTTCAGATCTTATTGGTTTGCTGTTTTCGAACTGAATACTTTCAAAGACTACTGCGCACTCGTCAGAAGAATAGTGCAAGAAAAGGCCTAACCAGATAGGGAGGGTGGCGGATTAGTGCGTAAGCGACTGTCAGTTGGGAACTTTCTTCATGTGCAACGTATTCAGCCAGGATATATCCCTGTTCTTTTTTTTGCAACAATTATTAGAAGATTAACTGGTAACCGTTCGTTTGACGAAATGACGCCAACGATTGGGTCACAATCCGCATTGGCGGTGAGGTCGTTGAATTGCCGGCCCGGCTCGAATGTGGTTTTTTTCTCGTTGGTTTTGTCCGATTACTGTGCCGCTCATCGAGGCGATTATCCAGCGATGTGCAGACGTTCGGTCGTTCACCAATCCGTTGCAATCGGGTGGTGTCATGGGGTGGGCGAGAATTATCGACATCCAACAACACAAGTGCATTCATGGAAAAAAATCGAACCTGCTAGCTCTACCTGTATTAGTGGATTCTCCTCGACTCCCTTCCGTTATCCCCACCCAATCCTCTGCAAAAACTTTTTCTTGGAACAATCTCCCTTTCTGAGTTCTCTTCCTAGGTCGGCGGCTTAGCAATTAATCTCCCGGCTAGATTCTAGCCCCTTCAGGTTTCAGCAGAGCATATCGGAATTTGTTTTTTTCGAAGTTTCCTCTGTATTAGAACTTCTTTGTCTTTGTACCCAACTGGCGATGTTGTCGTGCGATTCTTCGTTTTTTTTATTATTTCGTCATTTTACATGTATTTATTTAAGATTAAACATGCAAATCTGGCATATGGAGCCATACCCATGTGGGGATCGCAGATTGCCGCATCACGTTTTCCCACCAAAGAAACTCTCTCCCGATCAGCTTCTTACGCTTACCGGAGTGGTCTACTACAAGGTTGGTGTCTGATAACTTATTTGTTTATTTATTAATAAGAAAAACGAGCAAGTTGATAAGTAGTAGGTAATCGAGCGGGTGTTCCGTGGCTCACGCAGAAGTCCTAAGGCGGATTTTCTCGTTACAGGTTGAGTTCAGAGGGGCTGTTCCATATAGGAGCTGAACGGACATTGCAACTGTTCTCACTCTTGGCATCTTTGGCGGATTTTCTCGTTACAGGTTGAGTTCAGAGGGGCTGTTCCATATAGGAGCTGAACGGACATTGCAACTGTTCTCACTCTTGGCATCTTTACTCTACAGATGAATTACATTTTCATTCCAGACTAAAAATCTGTCGAAGAAACTTCTTTGAACCCTCAAAATCCCAAAAAATGACTCACAAGGGTGGAGAGTAATGGGCAAGATTTCGGCCTCTACGAAATTTGCTATAACACAAACACAAGTGCGGGTTCGAGTCCCGTCCGACGTCGATGTTTTGTCCATAACTTGCCAACTTTGTGAGACTTTTCTATCGCGTACTGCAGCGAAATAATAGCAGTTAACAAAATATCAAGCCAAAAAATTACATTATTTGTCGGTTCGTGCTTTGACCCTTGTACTTTGTTGAATTATGCAACATCTATATACATATGTATTCGAATAACATCCGCTGGATGGCTGAACGTAGGGTACAGTCGACCCGATAATCACCTCCGTTCCGTTGGTTACACGAAAATCACTGAAGTGAGCGCATCCTTTGCACTTTAAATCCCTGTCATTTCGGTCGTAGCCGCTAGTTTAGATCGTCTGTGTCGATTTCCATTTCGAATGAGATTTTTACAACCGCACAAGCTTTTACGAGCAAAATAAATAGTCGGAGACTTCGGTCCTCTTCGACCCTGTAGAATTCCAAAGGATACTCTGTTAGCGTCGAACAATCCCGCATCTGAGATACGTCCTTGCATTCGTCTTCCATACAGAATCGTAGCGGCGTATTGAAAGCGTATGTAGTCTATACAAAGAATGATTTGCTATGACCAGGCGATGCACAGGTCGGTGTTTTTATCATTCCGGATGAGTCTGGTACCAATTAGCCGGTCCTGCAGGAATAGAAAGCATGGTTGGCTTGAGCGGATACCGATTCGGAATTCAATCCCTCGCTGTGTGAATGCGTCAGTGCGCCACTTTCCAGTAACCAACTCCGACCCCTGTCCCTATAAAGCAGAAACTAAGTCCTGGTATTCTACTGACCCTGCTGTAGTTCATATCGTCATTGAGTCCTTATCATGGAAAGCTACCGGATTTGATTAGAACTCGTATTTTCGGGAAGGCCCCTACAATGGTTGGCTAAATGGCATCGACCGGACACGAGGAATGCCCCAGCCGCCTTCACGGGTAGACAAGAGCCTTTCGGGAGTGGAAGGAAATAGAAGAATTTCAAATCAGATTGGTCACATGATTACTTCGCAGAAGAAGACTAAACGTTTTCTCCTTTTCTCGTCATCAACGGGGTGGTGTAGTGGCAAAAGGCACACCATCACACACGCATGGTCAAGGTTCAAATCATGGATCGATATCCGCCTGGGCCAACCAGGCCTTCCATGCCTCCAGGGTTGGTTAGTTGGTACCANGGTCGGTCGAAGGGGTGAAAACAAAGAAGAACAAGATCAAAAACCAAACAACCAGGGGCTCGTACAAATGGGCTATGATAGCAGCCATTCGAAACGCCAGTACCATCCAGAATGGAAGACAAATACGGGGACGTAACTCGGCCAATGCCCAACTCCTTGATTTTACAATGTCTGTGGGGTTTTACATGCTCTGTCCAAAACGGATTTTGATCATGCTTTTTGCCGCCGAAACATGAAAGCAGTGCCAGTTTCGGAAGTCATCATCAAGCGCACCGGATTTATAATATTTGAGCGAATCACCATGGGCGACCCATTGCGATAACAAATAATTTACTTATGCGTAGAGTGAAATGAATTCCTTGAATTCAAAATAAAACCTGTCTTTGATAGATGAGCTTTTTATGGGAAATGAGACCGACGCAGTGAAAGTACGCTGGAACTCGGTACATATGAGCTGCCAGATCTAATCACGACGTTGCGCAAGGCTGCGGAAAATTCTTTTCGGTCTTTTCTTTCTCAGAGGAATTTTCGGGCATGTTACGAAATTTCGGTTCTTCGCCAGCTGTAAACGAGTCGTGGAAGAGGTGTAGTGTCAAATGGCGCACAATCGTTCGCGTGATCTGGGGATCGGATCCCGGATTGTTCCATGCCCACTTTACCGAAGCTTCCCATCTTTATATATCTTTATATATATTTTTATATCCATCTGGATTTGATGAATGAGCCTGTGGTAGCAGACACATTCTAAGCCTAGGCCTAGGAACAGAAACTTTTATAGAGTGTGCCAATCTGCAGCTTATTGACTTATGCTGCAATTTTCGAAAGGCTGAAATTCCATTGATTTCAGGTTGATTTGGATGACACAGTAGCAATGAAAAAGCGACTTTCACGAGTAAGAAATGAGAGGAAGGTGGTTTCGTCCGATGTGCTGACCATCAATGATTCAACGCCAGACTTTGACGAGAAGGTAATGAGTTTCGAAAAGCTTTAATTTTGAGATCCATAAATTGGTCCTCGAAGGTATCTGTGAAAAGAAGTTAGTCTTTGAGAGATCCGTTCAGTAAGAAAATTCCAACTAGACACTTAGACTCGTTATGCTACTCACAGTCACCTGGGGAAGTTTCTGCAGTTGCTCCACCGGCTTTCGCCGGCAGTGTGAATGAACTCCTTTGTGGCTGTTCTTTTAGCGAAATGATTAATTAAAGTCCTTCCCAGTTTTCGGTCACTAGGAGAAATTTGGGAGCCGGAATTCAGGATGATGAAAAGGTTAACAAGGTCGTCTTAATGTGTTCTTAGAAAGTCACATGAGAGGGCTTACCATTTAAGTCAAGCTTCGAAGAAAAAGTCTCTAATTTGCAGCTCGAGGACTATTACGAGCCAACGACAAAATCGCAGGATGTGGTATCGATGGTACTAGAGGGAACTTGCTATTACGATGTAGAGCCAGAGGTTGAACTTCTTTTTTTACAGTCCCTCTTTATATTCGGCATCTCTCAAAGTGATTTTTTTAGGAGGATGAATGGATCCGAATTCAACTCGAACGAGGTGATCTGATTGTGATTCCTCAAGGTGTATCGCATCGCTTCACTGTAACTCCACAGGTTTGGAAACTTCTCTAAAGTGTGTTTTTTAATTAATAATATTCAGGTCTATAATTATTATTTGCAGAATTTTGTGCAGCTGCAGCGTTTCTTCCCCAAGAAGCCAGATGATGTACAGGGATGAAAAACGCGGCTAAAAAAGCCCTCTACATTTCATTTTTATTTGTACTGATTTTGTATTGTTCTTACATACTTACTATATTAGGGTTATGATTACAATTATGCTTTGTGCATTTGCTTTAGATAGCTCTATATGTTGCTAATAAAGCTAATATCCTATCGGATCGAACACAATTGCAGGACGTGCAGTTTTTCGCCAAAGAGGCTATTAGATGTGACTTCTATTTTTGATTAGTATTTCAATATCTACTGNATGGCCTATACGTTGGCTTGCGGTGCCCAGCCGATGAACATTCGAGTGTTTTTCTCCTCTCAGATGAGTATGGTATCAATAACCAATTACAATTTCACCTGGGCCAACTTGCAGATATGATGGATGGCTTGGTTGGGCCAGACGAATATCGTAGTAAAATTAGATCTCCGAACAATGTGTGTGTAACAATGCGTCACTTGCCTTTGCTTGAGTTCTACCAAAGAACGACAAAATCTTGTTTTCCACATATTCTCGGCTTACTCATTCATCTTCGTAAATAGTGATGTACATTTTGCTCAGTGCTAATGACTCAGTGCACTTGTTTTGAAGGAGAAGTGAGTTGTGAAGAGAATTGAGTCTATCGAATTGTCAGTGAATTCGAATTTTGCAATTTGATCAAGAAAAATACGCAAGATTCTGCCTCATCCCTTCCAAAAAGGTTACAAAAATGTGGCGAGTCATGGCGAGCCTCAGGTATAACACTCAAGGCCTTAACTCTGCAGCGCAGCCCTACCCTCGCATAGTCACTTGTATCAAGATTCCATCTTAACAAATGTTATCATTGAATGTTATTCTTAGGCAACTCCCTATTAGGAGAATTTGCAAAATTGTGTTCAGCTGAAACGACTTCCCTCAGGAACGGTATACGGTTGCAACGGCTATATAAGCACAATAGAAACGAAGGATGATTACGTTTCTGCTGTTTGTCTATAAAAACCAATAGATCGTTTGCATCTTCTCTTAAATTATGATTAGATCATATGAACAAGTGAAGAACAAAATGACATTTTGTATCCAAATCAGCTGTGTCCGAAACAGTAACGAAGATTCAGTACTGCATTCAACTCTTAAAGTAGTCCTGCACGGCATAACCCCGTATTTAGCACAGTGGTGTATCGTAAGAACCCTTAGGTGAGGACCAGTGTGAGTATCTAAGTGAGGCATATAATGAGGTTTTCTCAGCTGCGAGACAATTTATGAGAAATTCGATATGGCAACTACAATGTGAAAAGCATATAACCTCCAAAATCAAGTATACAAATTTAAGACAATGTAAGATGTAACTGTGCATTTTACAGCTGTCCAGGATGGTCGCGAGGCTGATCTTCTGGGTGAGGAGAGCGCTCACGCATCTGCACGTCAGGACTTCCTGGTAGATCCGGACGGCACGGAGGCCACCATATTCCATGGCCAATGATGAGATGGTCCGGAACCTCGTGAAGAAAAGGGAAAGAACTGCATACCTCGAAAGAATTCAGAATGTGGGGCCAATTTTGCACGAAATTGTACATCCCTGGTCATCCATTCAACTGTTTAAACTCCTATATGAGGTTTATGTCTCTACTCTACATCAATAACCGCCTCAAGATAAACGTCTTCGCCCTCAACCTACGGCCGGCCCATGCACCCTTCAGATCTGGACAATAAACACAAGAGGTTGCATGAAACTTGAACTTGGAGATAATTTTCGAATCAGACTCAGCAACCCTGAAGAAGGTTGCAAGAAATTCTACTACTGTCACAAAGCGTCCCTGTCAAGAGCAAATCTGCTTAGTCATTTTCCTATTTACAAAATTCGCTGACATGTGTGATATTGGATATTTATATAGCCGATATCTATGTAACTATGGCCCATCTGCATCATATGCACTTGAAAATGGGAAGTATCCCGAGGTCTTAACCCACAATGAAATGTTCGATAATGTGGTTTACATTGGACGAAAATACTGCAAGAATAAGGGAATTTCCCGTCTCTAAACACCGTCGCTAAGCACCAGTCTGCAAGAAAGATTGTAACCCAGACCATGAGTGGAGGTTACTTGTTGATTCGATGAGGTTTGAAAGAACTGAGATACACCCAGGTCTGGTAGCAAGAGTAATTCTTAGGGACCGTTAACGCGAGGGCGCACGAGATCTCAACTTAATGAGAGCTGCCGTAGCAAAGTTTGACAAGATGGGCGCAAAGATCAATATTGAGTCACTTCAAAATGCCTACCAATTCTTAAGACAAGGCTCTGATCCCGTACTAGATGCCCATGAGGAAGACGGACCCGAAAAACCTGACAGTGCCGCCAGTTCAGTTGACATGCCTCGATCTATCGGTGTTGAACCACCTGCTCCGTCGAAACAAGCGAAGAAAGTGAAGAACGAGGACGCCCGAGAGCTCCACCAGCAAAACGGCTCCGTACCGGCATTGCCCCAGCAATCCCACCTCACTCATCAACCTGGATCGTCTAGGGCCATTCCTGTTGACCAGCCCGCACCACAGATCCTCGAACACGTCACAGTACGTTGTGCTGAAACTCCGCCACTACACCTTCTCGTGGATCTACCAGGAAGTTCTGCCGTGCAGATGCGTGAACCATCTCCTCACCCAGAAGATCAGCCTTCCTGGACAGCTCTAAAATGCACAGTTACATCTTACATTGCCTTAAATTTGTATACTTGTTGTTAGAGGTTATATGCTATTCACATTGCAGTTGCCATAGCGAATTTCCCATAAATTGTCTCGCAGCTGAGAAAACCCTATTATACACCTCACTCAGATACTCACACTGGTCCTCACCTAAGGTGTTCTGATGATACTCCACTGTGTTGAAATACGGGGTTATGCCGTGCGAGATCACTTTAAAGGCACTGTTCGCGATGATTCAATGGGCGGGTGTGTCGATGACGTGTCCGCCTCTCATTCGATGTCACCTCAGACAGTCTGACGTGGTGTCGAATGAGAGACGGACACGTCATTGACGTGCCCGCCCATTGAATTATCGCGAACAGTGCCTTTAAGAGTTGAATGCCGTACTGAATCTTCGTTACTGTTTCGCACACAACTGATTTGAACACAAAATGCCATTTTATTCTTCACTTGTTCATATGATCTAATCATAAATTTAGAGAAGATGCAAAGATCTATTCCTTCTTATAGAGACAAACAGCAGACACGTAATCATCCTTCGTTTCTCTTGTGCTTATATAGCCGTTGCAACCGTATACCGCTCCTGGGGGAAGACGTTCCAGCCGAACACAAATTTGCAATTTCTTGTAATAGGGAGTTGCCTAAGAATAGCATTCAATGAAGACATTTGTTTAGATGGAATCTTGGTATAAGTGACTATGCGAGGGTAGGACTGCAGAGTTAAGGCCTTGAGTGTTATATCCAAGGCTCCCCATGACTCGCCACAATTTTTGTAACATTTTGGAAGAGATGAGGCAGAATCTTGCGTACTTTTCTTGATCAAATTGCAAAGTTCGAATTTACTGACAGTTCGATAGCCTCAATTCTCTTAACAACTCACTTCTCCTTCTGCTTCATCAAACTGGACTTCTAAGACTCGACTATTTTTCACCATTCTGGCTTGTAGTTCGCATTTACAATTAAACTGGAATCTATGAAAAACTGACTGAAAGGAAAATTTGTAATTAAACAAGCACGAACCTTTCTTCTCCAACAAACAAATCGGCCTCCACACTTTTCCGGCCGTCTGGAGATTTGAGCCATTCCAATGCCTTTTTCGCCCCCTCATCACTCCGAGCCTATGTATCATTTGAAAATTATACATCAGATGCAGCTGTCAGCTGATTCGGTAAGAAAAAACTAGTTTATCTGCTAACTGTCTCGTACGTTTCTTTATCGTTTAGTGGAGTTTCAAAGTCTGAAGAGAAACTTTCGGGTGATATCAATACAACATGTTGAATATGTAAAAAAGCCTCAATTCGGAATACTTACCTCCAGCAGAGGAAGTTGGAACGGAGGAAAAACAGCGATGGAAACACACAAACACTTCGATGTGATGCACTTCCCTGGATGATTTCTCTTTCATAGATAGTGATGGTGTACTCCATTTGCACCTGATTTCACGCAGAAATATAATTCATTGCCAGAGCTTCTCTGAGTAAAAACGTGCAAAAGATTTGTCAACACTATCACCACTAACAATCATCAACTTCATCTGGTCCTCATTTGGTTTGAGTTGCTCACTTCTAACGCTGAACTTGAAATGCGACGCGGTTTCTACTTATCACGTTCTACTGCTAGAGAAGGGAAACTGCCTGCTGTCTCCTGTGAAAATTGAAACCTAAAAGTTAACTATGCAGCTAGTTTTTAGCTGCATCAATACGTCGCAAATATAATTGATGGTAGCGATCTTCCAATTTTCTCAGTTGCAAAGGTTTTTATCATGCAGTGCATGAGTCACACTACTTCAAAATACCGTGTTCACTCGGGCCTACGGACTACTTGAACTCGGTTCCTTTAAGTTTGCCGGATGCGTCATTTTTCTGCCCTCGTCTGGCGCACTCCCGTTTGATGTGGTCTTTGCGTGTTGTGCTCGCCTGTCCAATGGGGCCCCCACCACCACCGCCGTGGGCTTCACCCGGGGTGTTTTTCTCTGGGCTCTAGCCTCTTGCCGTCAGAGATGCGGAGAAAGTTCAAGGTTCACTCGCTGCTTGCGAAATATTACGAGGAGTGTGCTTTGCCGTACGGTAGAGTGCAGCCTTATGATCACTAGATTGCTTGCTTTTGTATGCCCGCTGTCAGACTTCGACAGCCGTCCGTCCGTCCGTAACTTCAACGCGTGCGCGACGGCGGTCGTATGCATGCCGCGACCGCGGTTCCTGAATGGTGTTGGCAGCGCTGGCACGTGATCTAATGTTGCCAACACCTTTCTAGAACCGCCGTCGCGACACGCACGCGACCGCCGTCGCGCATGCTTTAAACGGACAATCGGACGAACGGACGGGCCGTCGTCGAAGTTTGAAAGCAGCCTGTGGTAAGGACGACCAATCTTGAAAATTCCGTTTGTGGACATGTCATTCACTACTGACATCACCGAAGCACACCGAATACAATTCTTGGTCTCAACTAAAAGAGGATGTTGCTCGGTTGTGCAACTGTGCATAGCTATGCCTCATTTCAAAAGCTTGGAGGTGAGGTGGTGATGCTGCCAAACCAGGGTGTTCTCTTAACTCAACTCAACCCGGCCACGATGGACATTATTGGAAAGGGAATCTATGATGGTTCTGCCCTAGTCGGATCCTCGATTTGGAAGTTTTCTGAATCCCAGTCCTCTGGGAGAAGGGTATTGAGGAAATGTCGAAGTAATAAGGTTGAACGACAGAAAAAGATAACCATTTCAGTGTTTATCAAAGTCAGTAGTAAATAGTGAAGTCATAGAAGTGTCACCTGTAGCTGCGAAAAGTTGAGTTTTTCACGGTTACCTACTATCCGTGAAAGAGCGCAGATAGCCAGGTATATGTTTGGTGAACTCGATTCTGAAGCGATAGAACTCTATTAAAGGCACAGTTCACGATAATTTTGGGTAATCCAGATTATGATGAAAAATGGAAGACAAGATCGAAACTAGTGAGACTGAGGTGAAGAAACTGCGTGCAACGGTGTTTCCAAAGTGAAAAAAGGCTTCGAAAACCCGTAAAAAGGGGGCTGGACGAGAACGAAACCAGAAAAATGAAGAAGAGTGGGGCGTCCGGACGAGCTAAACAGTGTGTTCCACTGCGCGCGTGGATCCTGGTGCGAATAACAGGCAATGGTAAGCAAAAATTCATTCACTTATAAGCATATATGAACAAAAAACCCTAGTAAC